TTTGAGACAGGTTTCTTTGTGTAGTCCTGGCTGTTCTGGAACTCTGTACACCAGGGCGACCTTGAACTTAAAGAGATCCACCTGCCTCTGCCTCTCAAGTGCTGGGATTAAAGGTATCTGCTACCACCACTGCCTGGCCTATAAAGTGCTTTTTAAAGATGCCTTCCCCCACATATCTATTCTGGTAATGATAGTAAGCCCAAAAATTTTCGTGATTCACTGCCAGTTTAAAAATGCACGTCTATTATAACTAAAATGGGGGGGGGTGTTTGTCATAGATGATAGGTTCTTTAGTGTAAGCAGTTTTAACAGTCTGTCACCCACTGCACAAACAAGCCATTGTCCTGCTTTATGTCTTGAAATGTTAGGGTCCACAAGAAGGCCCACAAAAGACCACCAGTCACGTATGCAATCAGCAAGAGTTTTTATTAAAATTCCAACATGTTGGGGTGGCAAATGGCAATAAGAGAAGCCCGCAGGCTCCTTTAGAGCAAGATTGGGGGAACTCCAGGGAGCAGAGGTTAGTCTGGGGGCTGATTAGTGGGTTTAAACAAAAGGTTACAGGTTGCTATAGGAGTGGTTGGTGTCTTGTGGTTAGGGGCTTTTCAGCTGCGGGGTGGGAGAAGCTATCTTCTCTTAAGCTTGCTCAAGCCTGTGGGGTGCCCACTGATTGGTTGCAGCTTTCCCAAGGACTGCTTGCTCAGCTGTAGCTGGTTCCAGTAAACTGAACCTAAGGCCTGGTCTCTGGCAGAGCTACTAGCAGGACCTGTCATGGCCCTTGGCTGGTTCCCCAGCCCTCTCAGAAACAACAAATCGATTTCTCACCGTTTGGCAAGTAAGCTCAGGATTGATGGCATCTAGACTTTGATCTAAGGTTTTTAGCGCAATCCTGCCTTTGAGAAAAAACAGATCACAGTGTACACTTTCCAAACTTTCTTTTATTTGCTGGCGTACTTTTGGTGAAAGCAAATGATGTGGACAGTTCCAGAGTGATCAGGAAGGAAGACGGTGGGGGCTTGACTAGTGAGGCTCCAGGGGCCATTCATTACCACAACACTATCTCCAGTTAAGAATACCAAACAGTATATGGCTGATTATCACTCAGAAACATGGGGTTAAGCTGAATTTGATGTTATTAAACCTTAAAGTTTTCCCTTTGATATTTATTTCATTACCCAACCCCACAAAGGGTGCCCCAAAATGCCTTAGGCCTTCCCCACTTTATTCCCTTTAATCCGTCTGTTTTCATCTTTGGGATAAAGTAATTCTTTAGGAAATCATTCCTGTGATATGTAGGTTTCTATCTTTTCCTTGTGTTACCATTTTCCCTCTGTAACAATTACAGTGCTCTTAGACTACAGGCTTCACAAAGACCAAGTCTGCCCAGTTCATTTCTGTTCTCAGTTTCGTTTGAGTCTTGCCTCCTCCTATTCCTATTACCATCCTTCCTATGTAGTAGATACTTAATAAACATTTGCTAAGTCAATATTCTTCTTCGGTAGTTTTAAATATAGCTAATCTGCAGTGATTGAATGATTGGAGATCACTTTGCCCATTTTGTCTGCTCCCAAGTTAGTGGCTGTTTGCTTGTGGCTCCGTTTCCTTCACTTTGGGATTCTTTTGTTTTTGCTGATGTTGTCCCTCTTTTCTTCCCACCATAGCTTCAGCTTTACTTTTGTTTGTTTTTACGTCTTAAATTTACAGATTCTGTTTCTGAGATTCTGCATTGAGCAAAAGCAGTAGTTATTTTAAAACTTCTTTATTAAATTAAGATCACTTCAAAATTGTAAGAACTCAACCAAATATTTTGTTTTAACTTTTCTGCTTCTTTCTACACTGCATAGAGTAAAACGTCATTCCTAGCAATGATGAGTTTATTTCATATGGAGGTGTCAAGTGGAGTATCAGTATCAAAATCAAAACATGCAGTTTTCTAATTAAATATTTGTTTGGGAGCAGAGTATGTCTAGAATGTAAATACAGGTTTGCAAAAGTGTTTCAGGTGCTATGGGAAATTACAATATTTTACCGAGTAAGAAATCAGTATGGAAAGTTCAAGTTCGTCTATCTTGGAGTGAGATCTGTGATGTAACGAGTAGTAGGTACATAAGAAAGTTCTGGAGAAGCAGAAAGAAGAGCAGGCAGACAGTGATGGCAGCCTGCAAAGCCAGCCTTGGAGTTTGACAGTGTTTGCTGAAGGGCAATGGGAGGCAAGCCGCCTCCCTTCCCAGGGTTTACCTCCCCTTTCAGTGCTGAGCCATCTGGGGTGCACAAGGTCTGATGGTTCTGGCTTGGTAACCATCGTTGTAGTACACTTGTCTCTTGCTTATTGGGTCCATGGCCTCTATTGGTCTATAAAGAAATGGATTTCTGTTCCATAGCACTTGTCCCTGGGTGTTTTTCATTAATATCTTCTAGATTGTGAAAGACAAGAGGAATACAGAATACAGTTGATTGAGTTCAATTACTTTAAAGGAATGGCAGGAATGTTTGTACAAGCCATTGTCAATCTAATTTAAGGAATACTTGGTGGTTTATCTTATTGTCTGAAATTTATATATTAATGTTTTATGTTCAAGCTGTTTTTGCATATACTGTAGTTATTGTGAATTAATACAGAAAGGCATTATAAAATGCTGTAATGTGTCCTTTTCAACCTTTGACAGTTTAAAGTAGAAAATGGAGTGGATAAATTTATACTTAGAGCAAATTTTTGACTATTTCTGCAAATTGCTTATTGTTGGGTTTTCCTTAGTTTTGTATAGTATAGAATTGTGTGGAAAATTATAGTATAGTTAAGTTTTCATTGCATGAGCAGATGTTCTAAATTTTGTCAGTATTTAAACTTTTGTTGTTATTTTCTTTGTGTTTGCATACACATCCAGATGATGTTCCGTAGTGTTAGAATTGATGCTTCAGTAAAGGATTCTGACAGTAGATTTCAGCCTCTAGGAAGAAGATTCTTTTTTAGCTTCCTAATACTTTTTGGTACCAGATAAAATAGAAAGATTGTCAAGTGTCTTAGTATCCTATTTTGTTTGGTTGGTTTGTCTTGGTCCCCCCCCCCCCAGAAATATGTCTGGGCAACATAACATCAAAGGGCTGTAATCTCTAAATTTTCACTAGAATGCAAATTCTAGTATGGGTACCAGTGGTGCTCAGCCTTCCTAATGCTGTGACCCTTTACTACAACTCCTCATGTTGTGGTGACCCCCCCCCCAAAATAAAATTATTTTGTTGCTACTTGATAATTGTAATTTTGCTACTGTTACGAATCATAATGTAAATATCTGATATGTGGGACATTATATGCGATCCCCAAAGGGGGCATGACTCATGGCTGAGAACTGCTGGAGCTGTCAGCCTGTAATTGTGGCACATAGCAATACAGGCATGTGTTCATTGGTCCAGTGTCGCAGAGCACATACTCTTCATGTCCCTAGGTTATCTTCATAATTTCTAATAACATTTCTTGTGGAAAATTTCCCAGTTCCCTGCATGAAGTTTGGGTAAAAACAAAAAATTCTTATTAAAAATACAACATTGAACTTGTAACCCAGAATGTCTTTATGAACTTTTGGTCCCTAGTAGTATACTGATCTCACATCCCTGATTTTGACATAATTAAAGGTTTATTTATATAATAGTTAGAAGGAATTCTTTTGCCAGAGGGCAACCCTCAACCATAATTAGATGATACCAAAATACCACACCTCCAAGTCTTAATATAGACTGCTAAGTTTATACAGTGCCCATATTTTATTGAATGTAGGCATCATAATTACTTAATTAGATCCTGGTTTCGATTATTTAGATTGAGCATGTTTAAAATCCCATGACTCACGAGAGTGGAGGGGAGCTGGTTGGAAAGGCTATAGGAGATAAATATGATAAAAATATATTATGTGTCTATATGAAAATACCATAACAAAACCTATTATTGTGTATAATATGTGTTAATTAAAACTGAAACAATGACTCGGGAAGTAATTTTCTTTTATATTTACATTGATAAACAATGTTTTGGTAGCTAATTCCTTAAATTTGTATTTAGGAATGAAATTGGTCTCAAAACTAATTGTTTTCAGACTTGTTAATGCTGTCTTTTTATGAGTGCCACTTTTAAGAGAAATAGATTAAATGGCTACCTTTAAAAAAAAAAAACTTAATTTAGAATAAGTGGGCATTTGCAGTGGTTCACAATTACAGGAAAGGTAGCAACAGGTGAGCTGGAATACACGTCAGTCCGTGGTGTTCCTTGCAAGTGATGCAGTAGCTCCTCTTCTGTCATCTGAGAGCTCCACTGTGTCCTGTTGGTGGGAGATCCAGACAGTGGTCAGTCGAGTTGATTTTTTTTTTTTTTTTTTTGTACCCTTAGAATACCTTTTTAATCCCTGATCTACCTTTGCAAGTCAGTTTAAATCATTGCCATTGTTTTACCACTTTTAAAGGAGGAGGTATCATCTGTCTTGATATGCTTATTAGGAGTAACCCTGAATCTTGCTCTCACATTTGGTTTAGTTCCTTTGCTATAAAGGGGCAATTGTTTTATGGAAGTCAGCTTTCCATGATAGGATTGTTCCACTGTTTAAATGTCCGTGTCCTCAAAATGCATAGTGAAAATACAGGATCTGAAGTCACACATTTCAGCTTTCTCACTTAGAAGTTTATCAGACATGTTATTTAACCTCTTTAGAGTTTTGTTTCTTGCACGTAATGTAGAATAGCAGTAATGGTTACTTAGGGTTAGTATTTTTAAGTTCATGTTGCCAGAAATATTTTAGGAATCAATAAGTGTTACTGTTCAGTAATTATTGGTATGGGTGTTATATTAGTTATAATTTTATAACTAAGATAATGAAATAAATGTTCCTTGTCTCTGTTTCTGGAAGCAGTTGGGTGGTCCTGGCTTGGTGCTTTGGGAGGTTGCAGTCGGCATTGGCAGGGACTGTGAGTCTAGTTGTGTGAAGGTAATGGTGTGCATTGTTGGTATTTTGCAGACTATGTCTTCGGCAGTGGTGCAGTTATATGCAGCTGATCGGAACTGTATGTGGTCAAAGAAGTGCAGTGGTGTTGCTTGTCTTGTGAAGGACAATCCTCAGAGGTCTTATTTTTTAAGAATATTTGACATTAAGGTAAGTTTTGTTTTGATTTCATTTCAACTTTTAGGTACTTATCTGCCTTGATTATAACTTAGTTTAGATATTCTGATTGTCTTGTGTATGTTTAAATTGATGAAGTAGAAGAGTGAAATCCATTGTAGATACTGAAGAATATAGGAACCAAGTGGGAACTCGGGTGAGGATATCGTGACCCACCTCTTGTCTATGGCTGTGTTTTCTGCCCTTTAGTTATCTGTTGAGCATGAAAAAAACAAATCCTGAAGCATTAGTTTTACATAACTTATTACAGACCTTTACTGTAGTTGGTCTGTTTTATTACAGTTCTTGCTATAATTCAAGTATAATTAAACATTATTGTAGGTATGTTTTGTACAGGGAAAGCTATACATAGGTTCCAGACATGAGGGGATGTCTTAGAATGTGTGCCTCCACTGATGAAGTATACTGTTGTAGTGCCCTGAAGGGTAGCTTTATATTTCTTATCAACACTAAGAACTGTTTCCAAACAGGACTGACTGTACATCTATACTAAGAATAAAGAAATGCCCACTGTGGTGGTCATAATATATTTATAGCAGATTTTTCATATTTTTCTTTCCTTTTATTTTTTGACAAATTATACTTTCAATTTATCAGAGTCATCACAGACCTTCCAAAATACTAAATCTTCAGAGACTGTTCATTCACAAAGTAGGCCACCATGCCATATGTTAAATCCCAGCACCCTCCTGTACTCCTTGTGGGCCTCAGTGAGATGTCTACAGTCTTTTTTTTCAAGGATGCATGCACTGCCTGCCTTCTTCAGCAGCTTCTCCTTGCCCTCAGTTGGGCAAGGCTTGCAACTGCTAAACCCAGCACTTTCCGTCCAGTAGCAGTGATGTCTGTACATGAGTAAAGCTCCTACGTGCTGGCCAACCCAAGCTGTCCAGTTTTCACGTTTTAAATTTGTAATGCAGGTGGAGTCTCGAGTTTCAGAATTGAGCAATGATTACATTTTTTTCTCACTACTTAATTCTGATTGAGGATGGCCATTGTTTACAACTCATAATTAGTCACCTTTGGCATGAAGAATAAATATATGTTTTATGCTGTGGCTGTAGGTATGGCAGTATTATGTGGATTTCTCATCTGTTCTTTAAACTTATTATTGAGCATCCCAGAGAAGATGTCTTTGGTTATTCTGCATTTGTATTCTGCATTGTTAAAACATAGACTCACTTGTTCATGATGATGTTGGTAATCCAGTGAGTCTAGTTATGCACTTGGCTAAGTGGTGTACTTGGAAATTGTCCTGTTGAATGAGACCATCTTATATACAGGTTTCACTAAGTTGTATGGTACTGTATTGAATATGTTATGTGTATATGTGTATATGAAAGTTTTTGTTTATAGAAATATTTCCTTTAATGAGTCGTCTACTTTTAGTCATAGAGGTTTTTTTTGTTTTTTGGTTTGTTTTTTTTTTGGGGTTTTTTTTTTTTTTTTTTTTTTGTAACTTTTAACTTTTCCTCTTTTTCTAGGATGGGAAATTACTGTGGGAACAAGAGCTATACAATAACTTTGTATATAATAGTCCTAGAGGATATTTTCATACCTTTGCTGGAGATGTAAGTCCAAGTTTCTTTTCATCTTGATAATTACTCTGCTAGTTGCTGTCTTACTTAATTTTCTGTTGCTATGAAGAGACGTCATGACCAAAGCAACTTGTAGAAGAAATAGTTTGTTTGGAGCTTACAGTTCAACAGTTGAGTCCATGAGGTGATCACAAGAGCAGCAGGCAGGCCCGGCTCTGGAACAGTTTTGAGAGCTTACATCTGACCCACAAGCAAGAGGCACAAAGAGCTAACCGAGAATGTCACAAGTCTTTTGAAACCTCAAAGCCCACCCCTAGTATCACAACCCCTTCAACTGGACCACACTTCCTTAACCCTTCCCAAACAGCTACTGACTGGGGACCAAGCGTTTAAACCCATGAGCCTATGGGGACATTTGTACTCAAACCACCACAGTTGCCCATTTCCAATCTACATTATGTATAAAGCTCTGTTGAAATCAAACTTAATGATTGTTTTTCCTGAAGGTAAAGTATTAAGTTGTTTAAGTTTCTGCTGTGTAAGGAAGCTTTTCTAATAGTCTCTCTTTACCTTCTCTGGGCTTTTTTGCTTAAAAGTTACTTAAATCATAGCCAGGTGGTGGTGGCAGAATCCTTTACTCCTAGCTCTCAGAAGGCAGAGGCAGGTCTGTGAGTTCGAGGCCAGTCTGGTAGACAGAGCAAGGTCCAGGACAGGCTCCAAAGCTACACAGAGAAGCCCTGTCCCAAAAATACACACACAGAAAGTTACTTAATTCATAAAGTGATATTTTTTTTCTATTGTCAGAAAGCAAAACTTTCTGTGGGTTGCCAATATGCTGTTGTTGATATTACATAAAGCTAAATTCATGGCTTTCGTTTGTTCTTTTTGATGGAAATATTCAGACTTGTCAAGTTGCTCTTAATTTTGCCAATGAAGAAGAAGCAAAAAAGTTCCGGAAGGCAGTTACCGACTTGTTGGGCCGACGACAACGGAAATCTGGTAAACACCTCCTTGCTTTTCCTTTTCCTTTCTGTACATAAAATGAGCCAGTTAACTGGTTACCAGACAGATGTGAATCACGGGCTGTTCCTTATAGACTGTAGAAATCTGACTCCATTTGTTCATGGGCATACAAGCTGTGCCTAGTTTATGTCACAGCACAGTTGAGTGTTGTAATAGAGTCCATATAGTCATCAAAGCCTGAAATACTCGCTGTCTAGCCCTCTCCTCAGCAGAGCTTGTGATACCTTCCTCAAAAGAAATATCTTTACTCTGGTAACCTTTGTTTTGTTTTGTTTCGTCATGGTTCACACATGGATATTTATTTTGTTCTTAAACAAACAAAGGGAACATTGACCAAAAGGAACCCTCCACCCCCGTTTTCACTTTTGCTTTCTTACTACAGCACATTCTATAGCCATCCTTGACCTTTGGCTCCAGTAACCTTTGTTTGCTGATAAAATTCCATGTTTACTGACTCTGAAATTTGCATTATTAGTGGCATTTTTAAAAAACAAAATTTAAGTACTTTTATGTAAGCGGAATGGCAAACTAAATCTGCAAATGTTGCTTTGTCTTTTTGTTCCAATGCTGTACACTGTACAGTTTTAAGGAGCTTAATTTAATGCATAAGACAACTCTTAACATGTACATGCCCAGTTAGAAAGTAATGCAGGATAGTGTAGAAGTTTAAATTAATTAGCATAGAGCTATCATTTGGCAGCTGTCCTCATCTTTGCTGGAGTGAAATAAAGTCTGATTAGAAAAGATGACCCTCCTTAAAACCATCCTGTTAAGTGTATCAGTCTTAGGGACTCAAGGGAATGGCAGCTGAGCAGATGGCTTAAAAGTAGCTACTCTGAACATCTTTGTGTACTTCTAAGGGTGCCTGTTACCTCAGATTGAAGATAAGTATGTTTAGCAGTAGACTAAGGAAGGCACTGAATCTGGAAATAGCAGTGGAAATGCAAACACTTTTATGTATTTTTATTGTTCTTTAATGAGTTCCTTCTTGGAACTCATTTTGGTTTAAGGAGAGAACTAACTCCCCCAAGTTGTCCTTTAATTTTCATACATGCCATGCTCTCTCTCTCTCTCTCTCTCTCTCTCTCTCTCTCTCTCTCTCTCTCTCTCTCTCTCTCTCTCTCTCTCTCTCACACACACACACACACATACACACAACTTTCTAAAAAATATGTTGAAGTAAAGCGAGCTGTTGCTTCACTGTATCTGTATTTATGATGAATAAAAGGAAGGATGATTAGGGCCCTGTGATTTTACAGTCAAGAGCAGCTTGCTTCTTGTCTCTGGTTCAGAAAGTATTCAATGCTCTGATACTAAAACCTAACCTTTGGGCATCATGTCTCAGTGTCTTTGTTCTGTTTTGTTTTTACACACACACATCCCCCTCGTGTATGGTGCGTGTGTGCGTGTGAGCATGAGCATGTACCTGGTGTGTAGAGGCATGATTCCTTACCTGTCTATATATCACTTCAAGAGTAAAAATTTATGTGAAGTATGTAACCAAGATTTTACTTCAAGTGTATATGTGTCTTTTTGATAATATATTTTATGTGTCTAATAATGTTTTGATTTTTTTCTTTTTAACAGAAAAAAGACGGGATGCTCCAAATGGTAAGTTTTTGATAATTATTGACAAAAAAAAAATTTCAAATTACAGTTTAATTATTGTAGAAATGTGTGCCATGGGTTAATGCTTAATAATTGTGATCAAATGCTGTAGTTTAATTATTATTTTCAATTATGGAATGATAGGCAAAACTTAAAAATTGACTGTTCTTAATGTGTCTCCTAACGTGAAGTGAAAGTCTAGTGTGAATGGGTATTATTCTATTCTGTACTCCCAAGGTGGTTGTTTAGAGAGTGACTGCGCGTAAGTCTTTTCTAAAGGTATTCCATTTGATTTGGTATATATGTTCATTTCTTTTTAATATTTACTTTTTTTCATTTTAAAACTCTTCCTTTATAACATTTAATGTTTTGTCATGTGTTATGTGACACGCTTTCTTAAATGAAGACTTACGTGTATAGCAACTATTATGCACATAGCCCTCTAGAGTTTAGTAGTGAACTCTTAAATGTGATAAATAATTACTGTTCTTCTTCCCTCTTGTCTTCCTCCTCCTCCATGTTCTTTTCTCTAGAGAGAGGCTCCGTTACTTTGTCACATTCACATATGAACCTTAAAAGTAAAGTCCTATTGCTCCAAGAACCTTAATTAGAAGTGGGGATATAGCTGATTTTTTTTTTATTTAAATTTGAAACAAGCTTGTTTTACATGTCAATCCCAGTTCCCTCACCCTCTCCTCCTCCCTCCCCCAAACCCTTATCCTGTCCCCTTTTTATCTCCCTAGGGAGGATGAGGCCTTCCATGGGGGATCTTCAAAGTCTGTCATATCATTTGGAGCAGGCCCTAGGCCTTCCCCTATGTATCTAGGCTGAGAGAGTATGCCTCTATGTGGAATGGGCTCCCAAAGTCCATTTGTGCACTAGGGATAAATACTGGTTCCACTGTTAGAGGCCCTGTAGACTGCCCAGGCCTCCTAATTGACATCTACATTCAGGGGTCCTGGTTCCATCCTATGCTGGTTTCTCAGCTATCAGACTAGGGTGCATGAGCTCCCCCTTGTTCAGGTCATCTGTTTCTGTGGGTTACTCCAGCCTGATCTTGACCCCTTTGCTCATCACTCCTCCCTCTCTGCAACTGGATTCCAAGAGTTGGACTCAGCTTTCAGCTATTGGTCTCTGCCTCTGCTGATTTTTAAATGCATTCCAAATCCTTCAGAACTCAGAAAGATTATTCAGGGAAATTTGCACAATACAAAGTTCTTAATATAGGATGACCATTGGTGATTGTTGAGGTTTGTGCCCTTGACAAAAATAGATTGCCTTTTAGTTTTGTTTCTTTTGTTTTTTTGAAACGAGGTTTCTCTGTAGCTTTGAAGCTTGTCCTGAAGCTAACTATTGTTGACCAGGCTGGACTCGAACTTACAGAGATCTACCTGCCTCTGCCTGCCAAGTGCTGGGAGTAAAGGCATGTGCCACCACTACCTGGCTTAATTTTGTCCTAAAATATATTTTCCAGATAAAAAACATTAACCAAAGATAGATGTATTAAATTTCATTATTTAACCTTTCAATTTTTAAATATTTAATTGCCTTCAGTCTTGTTTACTCTGTATTAAACCTGGACATAGTTTGCCTTTTGTGTGGAAATATTACCTCTATAATAACTTGTAGGAATGCTGTGGGATGTAAAAAGTAATCAAAATGCTTAGCATAGTCATAGTTGTTAATAAGTGTCAGTTATCATAAAGATACTGACAATAATAGCAGGTCCCGGTTGCTTATCTTTCCCACCTGCCAGGCGTTGTTCAGTATTCTTCTGAGGTAGCCCCTGCTGTACTACCAGGTCACGGATGAAGAATAGGGATAGATAGTAATTTGCCCCAGATCACTGCACAGTGAAGATTGGGGGCAGAGTTCTTCCCCAAGTGGCCCCAACAGTTGGCCTTAATCATTGTTATGTTAAGATGACTTTGAAGTAGGAACCCAAGGCTACACATCTCAAAACAGGAAGTTGGTATGTGTCAGAAGCAAAAGAAACAGCTGAATCATGGGTTGTTCATCTGTGAACCTTTAATGGAGTTTTAATTAAATTTTCCCTGATAGGTACCAGGATTTTAATGTTTGGGTGTTTATTATGTTGCGTTTCATGAACATATGTTGAGTACTAATTGTAAAGGACTTCTAGGTATAGCATCTCATTTTTGAGAAAATAACTTGAAATATTATAAATAACAGATATGTGACTTTTTTATATATATTTAAAACTTTGTAAACATTTATTTCAATATGCACAACAGACACCTAATTGCTGTGAATAGTTAGTTTTAATATTCCTACTGAGGCGCTCACAATTGTCTTGTTTTTCTTGACTTGCTCTTGGTTTTGTTTGTTTGGTTGACTGGTTTGAATTGTTGGTAGGTTGGATGGTTGTTTTTGTTTTGTTTTGAGACAAAAGTCTCTGCACAGCCCTGGCTTTCAGGAACTCATTTTGTAGATCAGGCTGTCCTCGAACTCACAGAGGCCCTCCTGCTTCTGCCTCCCAGTGCTGCGAATAAAGCTGCTCTTGGTAATCCTTAGTTTTATACTTTCAGTCTTTTGGTGTAATAGTCCTAACTTGTTTTCATTAAATAGGGAAGTTTTTTGTTTTTAAATAATATTGTTAAAGAGCAAAATTATGCATCCAGTATTACCAATATATTCATACTTTTCAATTTATTAAAATATATAAGTGTACCCATACATACATATATACATATATATATATATATATATATATATAAAGTTGTGAGTGATGAGATAAGAGAGTTTTAATTTTTTGTTTGTTTGTTTGTTTTGCTTTTTCAATCCCGCCAGTCTTGTTCCCTCTACTGTGTACAGAGTAGTGATTTTGATCAGTTACAGCTTTGCTGTATTTTGGTGTGTCACCACTAGGTGGCAGTGAGCACCTTAACCGTGATGTGCTCTGTCTACTGGCACGCTAAGGGCCTCAAGTGTCAGCTTATCAGACCTTTTCAAATTGTGACTATTAAAAGACATTTTTCCTACAATGTAATTTACTTGTCTTCCTCAGTAAGCCTCTGTGTCACCTGTTTCTCAGGTGTCTTACCTTAGTATATAGTTCTCTTTCATTCTAATTAATGAGTTCCTTTAGATTTGAATTTGAAATTTAAGATTAAAATTAAATACCTGTTCATAAGAATACTTAAAACCCCTTTCTTGTGACAGCTGTCCTGCATTAGGAAAGGGTGGTTTATATCTTCCTGTCCCCTTTACTTGTTTGCTTTTGTTTTTCTGTTTGTTGTCATTGTTCATGTAGAGCAGTCTGGTCTTAAACTCAAGATATAGTCAGGTTTGGCCTTCCTGGCTTTCTGTTCATTCTTAAACCTTTCCAGAAATATATGAGTCATTCTTCCTAATAAGATTTAAGTAGGCTTTCAGATAACTGTAATAATTCCAGTCCAATGGAGATTTTCAACATACTTGAAGGATTGCAGCCAAATTGACATTAAGTGATCACTTATTGTGTATCAGCCTATATAATTCAGTAGTTCTCAAACTGAGGGTTGAGACCCCTTTGAGAAACCTCTGTCTCCAAAGATACTTACATTTATAACTAGCAAAATTATAGTTAAGAAGTAGCAGTGAAAATAATTGTATGATTGGGGGTTACTACAACATGAGGAGCTATATTAAAGGGTCGCAGCATTAGGAAGGTTGAGAACCACTGCAATAATTTAAGACTCTTTTTTTTTTTTTTTTTTTTTTTTTTTTTTTCTTTTGAGGCAGAATTTCTTTGTAGCTTTAGAGGCTATCCTGGAACTCACCAAAATCCACCTGTCTGCTTCCTGACTTATAGGACTACAGTCTTAGGATTTCTATTTGATGGTTACAGTTTTGTTGGGGATTCCCAAGACAACTTCAGTGGGACTCAGAAGGAGAACTCATGAGATTCAATGTGTAGTTGCTTTTACTGAAAATATCCAATGTAGTGAAGAGATAGCAAGCAAAATAAGCACAGAAAGCTACAAGGGGTGAATTCTGTAGATCTCCTGGAGCCACAGACAATGAGCTGCGTCTTCATAGAAGTATATGCAGTGTCATCTAAAGGAAAGGCTCATTAGAAGAGCTCTTTGGAGAGTCAGTGCTTAGTGTTTTCACACAGCCTATGACCATGATTCCAGACCCTCCTACATGAAGAAAGCAATATAAAGTGGAATTGTTGGCTCAAAGTTTGGACACCTTGAGTCCAGCTTTCCAGGAAATGTAAAAGACCAAAGTTTATGTCCTTACTAGACAGCTAAGGTGCCATCTATCTGTTTTAGTTACTACATTATGTTGCTGTGATAAAACTCCATGACCCAGGCAACTTATAAAAGGTTTGGGCCTCATAACTGCAGAAGGGGAGGGTTAAAGTCCATGACTGTCATGGTGGGGAACATGGCGGCAAGTAAGCCAGCATGGTACTTGAGCAGTAGCTGAGAGCTTAGCTCTTGATCCAGAAGCAAGGGGCAAAGAGAGCGCTAACTGAGAATGGCAAGGGCTTTTAAACCTCGGCCTTCCTCTAGTGACATACCTCCTCCAACAAGGCCATGCCTAATCCTTCTCAAATAGTTCCACCAACTGGACACTAAGTATTCAAACGTAAGTCAGTGGAGGCCATTTTCATTCAAACAAGCATGTATTTTTCAAGCTTTGATTCTTAAGTATAAGTAGTGGTGATATTTTGATACTCTTTGAAAATTGATAACAAAATGATCGCAAAGGAACTTGGTCTAAGAGGAGGTTTTGTTGGAGAATTGTGTGTTAAAAAATGGGATGTTGAAAGAACATGGATTGACTTTAAGTTGAGGGATGCATAAGAATTTTTAAATTCAGTCTGTTGTCCCTAGACTTTCATTTCTGTAGAGTATCTTTTATTGTATACAAGTTACAGGATACATCATTTAGTGCCGTTCCTAATGGTATTCTTGACAGATATCTGAAGGTCCCTAGGTACTTTTACCATTAGATCTTTGCAGGAGGTTCTGAATGTTAGAATTTCTTCCACTATAAATATTTGAGCTTGGTGATTCTCATAGCCAACTTACATTATGTACTAACGGGAAAATATTAGTGAACTTAAATCTGGCAGTTTTCAGGGAAGATGGTAGCAAAATATTTTAAAGAATCTTTTTTTTATGGATAAATAAAGTCGAAACAAGACAGGATTAAGGATGTCATCACTTTCTTTATAAGTGTTGTTTTGTGTTGTATATTTTACCAGAATTATAGCAAAAAAAAAAAAAGAAAAACCTTAAGGAATCAGATTAATTAAATTTTATAGACATCAATATACTTCAAGATATTTAATGTTGAGATATAAGTAAGCAGGCATAAGTTAAAAATAAAATACAGAAAACTACAAATTATGATTGTATAAAATTATTTTCTTAAATTGTATCCCTCTCATACCATTTTGGCTTTCTTTGTAGGTCCCAATCTACCTATGGCTACAGTTGACATAAAAAATCCAGAAATCACAACAAATAGGTTTTATGGTTCACAAGTCAACAACATCTCCCACACCAAAGAAAAGAAGAAAGGGAAGGCTAAAAAGAAGAGATTGACCAAGGCAGATATTGGAACACCAAGCAATTTCCAGTAAGACTCTTCCTTTGTCCTCTTGTCTCTTAAAAACAGACAGCTCTTGCTCTACTGTAGCCTCGGCTGCCTTAACTTTAGGGTCCTCTGCCTCAGCTTCCAGAACAGTACCTGGGATTACAGGTGTGCACTACTACACCCAACTTTATTTTTATTCCTCTTATGTATTCTGTGCTGCTCCTGATTTTTAACTTGTTAGAAAATTTTGGTTTGGGGAGTTCTGTATAATAATCGCTTCTCCATTGCTGTGGTAGAATAGCCCAACAAAAAGCAAGTTAGAGGAAAAAGTGTTTGCTTTGGTTTGCTTTTCCAGAGGGGGTATAAGCCATCATGATGGAAAGGCATGGTTACAGGAGTGTAATGGATGCATAGGAAGTGGTGTCAGTCTACAATCCTCCATCTGTCACCAGTGACATGCTTATCTAGCATGGTTCCACCTCACAGAGGTTCTACAACCTTTCAAATGTCACCACTGCTGGGACATGAGCCTTTGGGGACATTTCATAGTTAAAATATAACAGAAAAGATGTGTCTATTCATTAGGTTTTTTTGTTTGTTTGTTTGGTTGGTTGGTTGGTTTGTTGATTTTGATTTAAACAAAGAGAATGAATCGATTTATTAGGGGAAGGTGAGAAGCTGCTCCAAAGAAGCAGGCAGGCTTCCAGGGAAGAATATCCACATTCATCTCTTTTTAAAAATTAGAGATGTTGCTGTAGTATTTATGTTGTTTGTTTCTCAAGACAGTATGGCTCTTCTGTGTGGTCCTAGCTTACCTAGAATTCCAGGTGTCCAGGTGTGCAGGTACTACCAAGCTGGCTTGTTTCATGAATCTGGCGGTTTATTTTTCTACCCATCTGAAAAGGAAAGTTAGATGTAATTATTTTTTTATTCAACTGGTTGTTGAGCATGATATCTTTTAACTTTGCTGTATAAGTAATAAGGAGGATGCCTGCAAGAATTGTCTAGAAGCAAAAGAAATTGGGCTGTATATAACAGATTTCAAGTATTTTTATATATTTTTTCTCAAGCCCCTGTATACATTTACTTTTCTAATTTTTACTATTTTCTACCATAGGCACATTGGACATGTTGGCTGGGATCCAAATACAGGGTTTGATGTAAGTATCTTTTTAAGCTGTATAAAAATATGTAGAAATGCTATTGCTTATCCTTGGATATTTATTTACCATTTTAAAACTTAGTGTGTATTACATTTTGAATGTGCTATGTGTGCTGCTGCCGTAGTATTATTCTGTCATAGTTGCTAAGTCCCTTAAGACAACATTTTGTGTTCCTTGATTATGTGCTAAGTAATTTTGTGTCTTGAATGCAAAGAGAAAAGTGTTATTTTTTAAAGTAATAATTTTAGGAAAGTCTGTCAGATTACTGAAAAGTAGTATAACAAAATTGTTAATATCCACTTGGAGAATTATCCAGTTTGTTTCTAAACCATAGTTCTTCTTTGAGTCCCTGTTGTCACTCATTTGATTAGCACTGTGATAGCATAAAGAGGTTTGCCCTCAGATCTTCAAACAAATCAGTAATTCAAGATTAAAGCCAAATCTTGTTTAGGACAGGTTGGAATAGATGAACATAAGGTCTAGTCTTGAGTAGATTAATAAAAATAGGAATAGAATGCCCTCTTTTAAGACATGGAAAAGATGAGATGAAATAGAAATCTCTCTTGTTCTTTTCATAAAAGAAAATGTTGTGTTATCATTTAAGTTACTTAACCATTTTAAAAGTCTATGAATTTAGCTTCCTAAAGACGCAAATAAATTGTAAGTTTTACCCAGTTTGTGTTTTGGAACAGAATTGCCTACTTACAAGTTGTTTTATCTGTTTTAGCTTAATAATTTGGATCCAGAATTGAAGAATCTTTTTGATATGTGTGGGATCTCTGAGGCCCAACTTAAAGACAGAGAAACATCAAAAGTGATTTATGACTTTATTGAAAAGACAGGAGGTGTAGAAGCTGTTAAAAATGAACTCCGAAGGCAAGGTAACTTTTAGTCTATATTGACAGTTGGCTGGTTTTTTTTTTTTTTTTTTTTTTTAATTTTTATTTTTATTTTTCCTTTTGAATTTTCTAAGACCAACCTTATGGTGGACAATTATGCATCCTTTCTTGCACAGAATATTTAAATTTATGGATGATAGATTTGGTTCAGCATCACTGCATTGTTCATTGTTTTGAGCTAGACATGATAAGATGGCTTTTAATCCCAGCACTCTGGAGGTCGAGCAGCCAGATTTCTGTGAGTTTGAGGTCAGCCTGGTCTATGTGGAGATCAAAGGGCTACATCAGTAACTACATAGTGAGACTGTCTCTAAAACAAGTAGACAAAAAATTGATGTGATTATTGGTATAAAAAGTCACCTTGTAATCTGTAATAAAACATTTTCAAAATATAAACTATATAAAAACTTTCTGTTTTAAAATACCTTTTTTTTAACCCCTCTGTTTAGTCCAGAATATAATACTTTCTCTTGGTTCCTGTGATCAGTTTCCCATCTTCGATAGTTGGGTATTTTAAAGAATTTTGTGTTCTGGTTGCCTCCCAACACTTATGACAGGCAGGTGCACAGATAGCCTTTGCAGTCATGGTCACCATTTCAGCACCATCTCAGTTGGAACCAAACTTGCCCTGCAGTTTGTGCTCACACTGGTGTAACTGAGCTAAAGCTCCACTTACATTGGAAAGTGGGTATTTAACTTACCTTTGTCCGAGTTTTTACAGTTTTACAGTTTTTAATTGAATGTGTTCTTCCAGATGATTTAGTCAGAAAGGTCTCAGAGTCTTTAGAGCCAGCTGTGGAAGCCAGCTGTATGGCTTACATTGCTGCTGTATAAGCACAGCTAGTATGATAGAAACTAGTATTGTGCTAGTTTATCTTCCTAACAGACGGTGGATTTTAAGGCATACTGAGTACAGTGTCATTTTAAGTGTGTATGGTCATGAAGACAGTTAGATCCAGGTGAAGTAAGGTCTTGAAGACTGCTCTCTGCCACACCGACTGGTGCTCAGGGCTACTCTGCTCTGGTAGTGTGTAAGTAATTACACTTAGCATTATTGGCTGCATCACCCTCCTGTGTCCTTCATGCTTAAAGAGACGTGGATCATACTAACTAGACTGAGTTTTCTTAAACTTTATTGCAGCTGTATTAAAGATAGGCAAGGCCTTTCCTTAATTGTTAACCCTAAAAACAAAAAGTCACAGGCTTTCAAAATCATATTGGAAACAAAATGTCAAGATTTTTATGTTTCAAAACCTAACTTTTTCAGTGTGGAACCTATTATGCATCAAAAGATGGTTTTATGTAAAAATATTTTTATAAAAAGGTTTTGTTTGTATTTTATTTGTAATTAGGTGCTTATGTATGGTGGGGATGGGGTGGTTATGTGTGTTAAGTTTCGTTCAGTCAGTTGTGAGCTGTTCAGCATGGGATAGGAACTGAGCTGAGGTCCTCTGAAACAGTTCATACTCTTTGCCATAAGCCTTATCTCCGACCAAGAAAGTTTTTTTTTTGTTTTGTTTTGTTTTGTTTTTTAATATCAAAAACATAATTTTTCTGTTCATTTTTTCTAATGAACAGATTTTTTTTTCTAGAAAGAGAACATATATAAATTTATATTCAAAAGTATGGGAAACAGAAATGGAGATGTTAATGAAATTTGTCTTAACCTACTTAATTAAGTCTTTTGTCATTTTATAAAATGGTGAAAACAAATATAAAGTCAAACAAATTTGTGATTTCCATTATCTCTGTGTGTAGCTATTGAAGTCCATTAATTTACAATCTGTTCTTTAGGTCCACCACAGTGGAGTGGTATGTATGTGGGACAGTATTTGAACCATTGCTCTGAGTTTTGCATGATTTGCTTTGTTGATTTTTTGGAGTAGCTATAGTTCATACATTCTGCCTTCAAAAACTAGTATTTTGAGCATTAAAATTTGTTTGTAATAAAAAGAAATATGCATTTCTGTGAGCCAGAGCTTAAATATTATCTATAATTTAGATTAATTCATTGAAGTCCTCTGTATTTACTTGCCTACACATTCATGTTTTCACTGATACTGATTGATTATGCTTGCTAATTTATGCCTTGCTTTTCACTAACCTGTGTAAATTATGTTTATATTGACTAAGGTAAAGGAGGATGGAGCAGTATTAGTGAGCACAGTGTCATATATCCACTTAGGGACTTGACATTATCCCCATAAGTTTAATTATATTAGGTAACATCTGTTAAATTTTCATGAGAGAACATGATAGCAGTTCCTAAATGTTTTATTAATTCTATAATACTGTATGCCTTTTTAATATTTTTGCTTAGAATTCTTATGATAATTATATATGAATAATATGTTGGTATTCTTAATAATATTGACATTGGTTTGAAAAGATAATTTTCAAATACATTGGCCTTTTTATATACCATGAACACAACGGTGTTTGGCCTTTTTTTTTTTTCTGAGATTCAATATTCCTGTAGATTAACCAAGGGCACTTATTTGTATTTAATATATAACATATATTGTACTTAATATAAAAATACCCTTTTTATAACTTTATCTTTCATGTTTTCCTCTTTTTTTTTTTTTTAAGTTGACAAATAATAGCTGTCACTTTTTCTGGTGTTTGTGATGACTCTTAAAAGTCCTTTTCACCAGTTGCTGCTTGGCTCGCATCTTAGAGCACTGGACTGTCCAAACTGTGTCATCTCACTTACTCTTCTGTGCTAATTCTTCCATATTTGTCCCTGTGATATAGTGTGCTCTTTGTGTTAGCTGGAACACAGATGATAAAAGTTAAGGATTGGTCAGAGATTATTTCTTTAAGAAAATGTAGTGAAGTTTGCTGTCACTTAAGACAGCAGAAGTCCTGGGGCTGCAGAGATGGCTCCCTAAGCAAGCACCGGCTGCTCATCCAGGAGACTCAGGTTTGATTCCCAGCGCCCCACATGGCATTGTACAGCAGGAACTCCAATTCCAGGGAGTCTCCAACACTTCTGGATTCCATGTGTGATGGGAGATGCTATTATGTATATATGCTTCTCATACTGGTTAATGAATAAAGCACTGTTGGCCAATAGGAAAGCAAGATAGGAGGGACTAGGAGACAAGGAGGAAAGAGGAAGTAGTAAGGAGGAGCCAAGATGGAGAGTCGGGAGAAAACAGTATGCCAGTATGCCGGCCGGCTCCCCGGTAAGAGAAATACATAGATCAGCAGAAATGGGTTAATAATTAAGATAGAGCTAGCCAATAAGAAACAAGTAACTGGGCCAACAGAATTATATCTAATACAGAGTGTATTAATTGGGGCTGGTGCGGCGGCAGGACAAGACCAGCGGCTGCAGGCGGAAAAACCGTACTCTTTACACATGTGGGCACTTGTGTATGACATACATGTAGACAGAACGCTTATACACATGAAACAAAATATTTTTTTTAAAAAAAAACAGAAGAAAATAGGAATGCTAATAGTGCAAGTGTTCTTTTCTTTCTGTACCATTGTAATAAGGCAGATATTTGTAACAGTGGGTTGAATACATTATGTTATTCAGCACCATGTAAATATTAAGTAGCTAAGTTTATAGCTATTATGGCTTCTAAGATCTCTGTGTACCCCTCAAAGTTAATTTCTCTGATCAGTCTTTAAATAAAAGGGGAGTGATGTAGTGCTTAATCTTCTTGAATTTGTATATGTCATTAGTGAAACTATGTCTCCAGAAATACAAGATTTAATCCTTAAAGGATTAACTTGTACTCCCCAGTATATTCTTACACATTTAGGATTAGTTTTCCTAATGTAGCTTACTTCCTCACCTAAGTAGACTAAGGATAGAAATATTAACTACTAGGGTAGTGTTAACTTTTTATTAACTGTACTATAATTTTGTTTAAAAGAATCTGTTTTATAACAATTCAGATCTAAATAAACATTTAACCAAGCAACCACCCTCTCTTAAACACCATGTCTAGAACTGCTGACTAGTTGTGGGTAATGTAAAATGCTGTATTATAAAGCAGAAGGACATGTGTAAATTAGATAATGAAACTTTACATTTTGAAATGTGAGGTTTAACTGATTGTTAAATTCTAATAAGTTTTGCCATACTATAAAATTTGCTTCCAAATTGATTTTATACAAAATCTAAATATGTTTAATTCTAAAGGGAAGGAACGCATTATTACTATCAAAAAATGCTTACAAGCAAAGTGTTTAATTACATGGTTATAAAAACTGTAAAAATGGATATTTTCTTATGTGTGTGCCTGTGTACTCATGCATGCACATATGTGGATATGTGGGTACCTACAGTATCCGGAGTTGGAATCTCTGGAGCTGGAGTTCCGTGCTGATGTGGATCCTGGGGACTCAACTGGTGTCCTCTGCAACAGCAAGCATGGCTTATAACTCCTGAGCTGGCTGGCTCTTCAACCATGTAGTTTTCTTACAGCTTCAGAGCTGATGCTGAGTCCTCATAACTAGATTCTCTTGTGTTTTTTTTTTTTTTGTTTGTTTGTTTTGTTTTGTTTTGTTTTTTATTGACAACAGGTGATGACCTTTAAGCTAAATATTTGTTTCCAAATGAAATTGTAAGAGACCACTTGTGCTCAGACGTTGAGGGAAGTTCTTGTTCGGCCCAGTCCAGCAGCTGTTTAGTCCCAAATAAACGCAGGCTTATCTTGAACTGTTTGGCCAATGGTTTAGGCTTCTTTCTGGCTAGTTCTCTCTTCATTAATAACCCATTTCTGTTAATCTGTGTGTCTCCACATGCTCTTGGCTTACCAGAGAATGAGTGGGCATCCTACTTCCCTGATGGCTATATGGCATCTTGCTTGTGACTTCCCGGCATTCTCCTAGTCTGGTAGCCCCACTTACACTCCCTGCCCACCTATGGCCTTTATTCATCAGTCAGTAAGAGAAACAGTATTTACAGCGTACAGAAGGACCTCCCCATCACTCAATTATTTGTAAGATATATTGCAAAGTGTTGCTGATTTTGCTCTTTTTTTATACTGGGTTTATGTATGTTAAAGTAAGTTGCTTTATTAATATGTTTACGCTCTCATTTTTTTCTCTGTTCTTATTTCAGCACCACCGCCTCCTCCACCCTCAAGGGGTGGCCCTCCGCCTCCGCCTCCCCCTCCTCATAGTTCAGGCCCTCCTCCCCCGCCTGCCCGGGGAAGGGGGGCTCCTCCCCCACCGCCTTCGAGAGCTCCCACTGCTGCACCTCCACCTCCGCCTCCTTCCAGGCCTGGGGCTGTTGTCCCTCCACCCCCTCCAAACAGAATGTACCCTCCCCCACCACCAGCGCTGCCCTCCTCGGCACCTTCAGGCCCACCGCCTCCTCCACCGCTGTCTGTGGCAGGGTCAGTGGCACCTCCGCCTCCGCCTCCACCTCCGCCTCCACCAGGGCCGCCCCCGCCCTCTGGCCTGCCTTCCGAAGGTGACCATCAAGTCCCTGCACCTTCAGGAAACAAAGCAGCTCTTTTGGATCAAATTAGAGAGGGTGCCCAGCTTAAAAAGGTGGAGCAGAACAGCCGGCCCACGTCCTGCTCAGGAAGGGATGCGCTTTTAGACCAGATACGGCAGGGCATTCAACTAAAGTCTGTAAGTAATGTGTCCTTTTCATTTTGATTTTTTGGGCTTTTACCATGCCCCATTATAAGGTGTCTTTGAGGCTTATTCTTTTACTTTTTATAATTTTTAATATGGTTAAAGTCGGGCGGTGGTTGGCGCACGCCTTTAATCCCAGCACTTGGGAGGCAGAGGTGGGCAGATCTCCGTCATTTAAGACCAGACTGGTCTATAAGACCTAGTTCCAGGACAGGCTCCAAAGCCACAGAGAAACCCTCTCTCAAAAAAAAAAAAAAAAAAAAAAAAAAAAAGAACAGAAAAAAAGATGTTGGTTATGTACAATGAAATGTGCATATAATATTTTGGATGTATACACTCTGTAGCTGTATAGTCTGTAGTCCACACTTAGTATCAAAATGTGACTTATCTGTCACCATAGAAAGCTACCTTGTGCTTCCTCCCAACAGTCACTAATCTGATTTCTATGTGATACTTCTGTATATTCTAAATGTCACATAGGTGGAATCTTAAAATATGTTTATAATTCATTGTTCTTGACTTTAAATTAAAGATTCTTTAAAGAAACGACTTAATAAATAAACTAAAGGGGAAAAAATAGCCTGCTTGGAAAGCTGCAGGATCATGGTAAATTCAATCCAGTAACCTTATAAAAATGAAAGCACATTCTTAAACTCTAAAATTGTGTATTTGGAAATTAAAAAATCAGACTCCACAGAAAAGTGAAAGGTTCTAACACCAGAATTCACAATAGTGATGGTGTAAAAGTTTGGATTCTTTGATCATTTCTTCATCATTTAAGGGTTAAGAAAACTCCCTGCATTGCACTTGATTGCAGATGAGCTCTTTTTTTTTTTTTTTTCTTTAATTTAAATTTGAAATACGCTTGTTTTACACGTCAATCCCAGTCTTCCCCTGCCTCTTCCCCCAACACCCATCCTATCCCTTTTCTGCTCCCTAGGGAGGGTGATGCCTTCCATGGGGGGAATCTTCAAAGTCTGTCATATCATTTGGGGCAGGGCCTAGGCTCTCTCCCATGTGTCTAGGCTGAGGGAGTTTCCCCCTATGTGGAACAAGCTCCCGAAGTCCATTTCTACACTAGAGATAAATGCAGATGAGCTCTTAAATCTCACTGTATGTGGGGCTAGAAATCTGAACTCAGGTCCTGCTGCTTCTCTGCCCTCTGAGCCATCCCCAGCCCCGCACAGATTGTTTGCTAAAGATTTCTAACTGAGTTATGATACTTTCCTTCTCCAAGGTGTCTGATGGCCAAGAGTCCACACCACCAGCGCCTGCCCCCACCTCCGGGATTGTGGGTGCTCTGATGGAGGTGATGCAGAAAAGAAGCAAAGCCATTCACTCCTCAGGTGCTCACTCTGCTGGCTGGGCAGGTGGGGTGGGGTGTGGGTATGGTAGTGATGCCCGCTTTCTCTTTATTTTTATGGTTTTCTTTGTCTGGTAATTGTGCAGCTCATTGGTGTTGCGATTTTAAAAAGCGGCACTCGAGAGAAAGATTCCATGCAGCAGAGCTTGGGTGAAAGTTTTTTTTTTTTTTTTCTTTTAAATTGGGGGAAAGTGAATGCAAAAGGGATGAGGGGAGACAGGCCTCTGGGGACAGGAGCGGCAAAAGCTAGAAGAGACAGGCAGAGAAAAGGAGGGAGAGAGAGGGAGAAAGGGAGAGAGAGAAAGAGTGGGAGATGGGAGGTGGCTAGGGTCAGGCCCTTTTAAAAGGGAACAGTGAATGTGCACAGGTGGTGCTCTTAGTGGCTGCAGCTGAGGGCATATCCTGTCAGAACCCCAAGGGCAGGCCAGTATAGTTGCCTGAATACTAACAACTGGTATGAGTTTTTACAGCATGTTTAACCAAATTGTGTCGTCAGTGACTGGTCTTCCTAAAATTTGATATATACCAGGACACCACAGCCATAAAGAAACTAGAAGAAAAAACTTTGTAAAAAGTGATGAATTCATTTTCTGTACTGAAAAACACTATAGAGTCGCTGACAAGCAGCCTCTAAATAGGGCATGAGATTTCTCAGTACCATTTCTATGATGTTCTAGTAATAAAAACTGTAGTGATAAAGACAATATTGTGGGTTTTTTTTTTTTTTTTTTTTTTGACTCTTTGAGGGGCCTGCCACCTAGCTCCCAAATAATTCCACTGAGGCTTCTTTCTTCTTATGAATGCCCTGTCTTAGCTTGGCATCCAGCCAGCTTTTCTTAAATTACCCAGTCTACCTTTTCCCTCTGGCTTTCACCTATATCTTTCCTTATTCTGTGTCTGGCTGGGTAGCTGGCCCCTGCATCCCATCCTCCTCGCTCTCTCCCTCTTCCTTCCCCCTCCTTCCTTCCCTGCTCCCCCCCTCCCCATTTATCCTCTCCGCATGCCAGCCCCACCTATTTCTCTTTCCTGCCTAGCTATTCAGCTTTTTACTAGACCAATCAGGTACTTCAGGCAGGCAGAGTAACACAACTCACAGGGTTAAACAAACACAATATAAAAGAATGCAGCTCATCTTTGCATCATTAAACAAATGTTCCACAGCATAAACAAATGCAACCTATCTTCAACTAATGCTCCACAACATAGTGTGGTGCTGGTACAGAAATAGACTCCCAGACCAATAGGACAAAATGGAGGAATTCAGAGATAAACATAGTAGTGAACAAAAAATACACACTGGAAAAAGGGCAGCCTACTAAATAAAGATGCTGGCAAATGGATATCCACTTGCAGAAGAATGCAGCTAAACAAACTATTTTCCTTCACCCTCTGCAAAACTCAGTTCAAACTACATCAAATACCTTAATTTAAAACTTGGGATTCTGGAGAGGGGGGATTAGATTTTTTTTTCTTTTTTGCTTTTCTCTGCCTTCTGTTACTTTTCAAGTCCTAATACTCATACTGAAATCGTTCCTTATAGGAAATTTGTCTTATAAGGGAATAAAAGATAGTCTGTTTTTATCTAGCCCACATACATAATATCACAGACTCATTACTTTCTCACTCTTTATCATTTTGAACACATATGTTTAAATACCATCTCTCTTTACAAACTTGGCCTTGGTAGGTTTTTGTGAGGTTGGGTATCATGGACAATTGATAATGTGAATGTGCACTGGTAGAATTAGATGACATCAAAACCTGAATTCACTCAGAGAATAATGACTGAACAACCTCTACACAGCATTCCTGCTGCTCAGGATCCTATGATATATAAGAGGCCCAAGACTTGACTTTTGTGGAGTTTGCATTCTACTATGGTGCATTGAATTCATAGGCAGTCTAAGAAAGTGAGGGAAGGGAAATAGAACAGATAGTTCTTTATTCTGGAGAAGGGTTGCATGGGATAATCAGAAAAACCCTCTCTTAAGAGCTGGTTTTTGAGTAGGATGTAAATGGTGAGATAGCCAGAAAAAGGAAAGAGACTCTTGAAACACTCTGACATGGAGGGACAGTGCGGTGAGGGTGAGGGGCAGAAAAGGAGATGATTGCATTAGAGACAGTGAGAGGAGGGAAAGGGCAGAAGGGCTGGTCACGTCATGTGTGATGTTTCAGAGGTAGTTCAGAGTACATGCAGACAGCAGTAGCCAGCCACAGGAGGCCTTTGAAGGAAGAGCGTGACATTTTAAACTTAGAATTTTGAGTGTCCCTCCATTTTCTCTGAGGTGAACCTACTGGAGAACAGCACCTGACAGTGAGTATGGACTGTGGTGGAAATGAAGGTACTTGATGGAGGGAGAGGAAAAGCAATTAATGCCTCATGCCTGCTCACCTAATAGAAAGATGATGTCATTAAGATGAAGAAAAGCAGATTGTGGGAAGAGGAAAAACTGAAGTCCCAGGGTTCTAGATTTACATAAAGAATGGGAAAGGAGTTGGGAATCCAGATTCCCAAAAAGCTAACCCAGGTTTCATTTGACACATTAAAACACACAGGGACTAATGGGCTAAAACCCAAGTCTTGGATTTGCTGTTCTCATCTTTGATCCCATCCATGTCTGTAGATTGATTTTATTGTATTAATTTTAAACCATCTTAGTAACTAGATTTCAGAACTTGTTTCAGGAGTTAGCTAGTTGGAGAAGTCACTGGAGAATTATGTCATTTTATTCGTATGTATTTAACTCTTGGTTTTGGGTTTTAGATGAAGATGAAGATGATGATGAAGAGGAAGACTTTGAGGACGATGATGAGTGGGAAGACTGATCTATATATTATATATATATATATATTTTTAAGGTGAAATACTAAACACTACTTTCTGTCTATGAATCTGTAAAATTATCATGTAAATGTTCTACCAATTTGCTGTATATTTTTGTTGCCTTTTGCTTTTTTTTTTTTTAAATTAATCTGTGCAATACCTCATTTAATCTGTAAAGGTTTGTTATAATCCTCTACAAAGCTACTCCCTGTTACTGTGTGCAAGTTTACAGCAGGATGCTCACATGATTTGTGAATATTTTCATTCCATCAACAAGGGAGTTTAATTATGTGTGAGACTGACACAAACCTTAATGTAATTTAGTTAGAATGCCAGAAGGAGAACACTATTTTCATACCCTACTTTTTCTGTACCTAAATTTTCTTAATAAAATTTAGCATAGCACTACATTCTTTTTCAAGTGATGTAAACTTTAGTTTCTTTAGCCCCGTCATTTTGAATATGATGCCACATATGAATGTTGAAGCTGATACATTGCACAATTCTATAGACATCACTACACTGACAGATTTTCAAATTCTAGCAGTATGTTCTGCTTAAAATCACTACAGATACTAATGAAGAGAAACAGTAGCACACCTCTTCTGTAGTATTGCTTACCATTGGTAAGCAGTGGCATCTGCAGGCAGGAATCCTGATGAGCCCTCACACTGTCTGTACTTGACCAAGGTGGCTTTTATGTTATGGCAAATGTGACAGGCTCTTTTCAGCAAGAATTGAACACTTTTGGTATCACTCCCCAAAGTAGTTTCAGTTAACATTTATGGAGGTTGTTTTGTGCATCATAAACAATTATAATCAGGCCCATATTTGACTCAAAGTTGTATCAAAGCAGTGATAAAATGGTGTGAAGTTATCTTCGTATTTTGCAGATTGTATGCATTGTTGTGTTCAGAAATATGAATTGTAAATGTCGGATTTTTGGCAAAAGTATGCACAAATGCTAAACCTCACACATACTGTATTTTTTTTTTTTTTTTTTTTTTTAAGTTGTTGTTGCTGCTTTTGTTTTTCGAGATAGGGTTTCTCTGTATTGCTTTGGAGCCTGTCCTATAACTCGCTATGTCGACCAGGCTGGCCTCAAACACACAGAGATCCACCTGCCTCTGCCTCCCGAGTGCTGGGATTAAAGGAATGTGCCACCAGCGCCCAGCCCATATACTGTATGTTTTTACTTTGATGGTTTTTACAGTTTTTTATTTTTTTCAAATATCTGATGAAAAGTTACATTTTTCTTAAAAGATTAATGGTACCAATGGTAAAATTCTTGGAATACATAACTGATTTGATAGATTTTTTTTTTAAATAAAACTTTACAGCCTGCACACTTGTTATGGATACTAGATGGTGTGTTAAAATTAGGTTTTCCTTGCCTCTTTACAGTACACTAATCTGCCTAAAGGTGGCCATTTCATATTTACAGTGATAATTATCTTACCTACCTACTTTAAATAAATTTTAGGTAGACAATTATCTGATTTAAATAGTCATATTTTTCTCATATTGAGTTGTATGCAGAATGTAGCTTCAAATGTATTCATTATAGTCACAATATCCAACTAAAAATTATGCTATCTAGAAGTATACCGACCAAAATCTAGTATTGACATGATCTTGACAGGCTGGACCTGCAAGATATGGTTTGAATTTTAACAGTTTATCACATAATCTTTAGTGATCATGCATCTAGTTGTCGTCAGAAATAATTTAAAAGGTTTAGTTGCTGAAAGCAGTTAATTGGTACAGTAAGTTGGTTAAGTTATTCGAAGAATGTTACCTTCCTTGCAAGAGTAATTACAGCACATTGGAAAGATTCTCAATTTTGTGTTCTTGTAAAAAATAATAATAATAATAATAACCACAGCAACAAAACACAGCTGCTGGGAACCTTTTTCTGCTTACTGTCATTTTCACGTGGCTTGAACTCTGTGAGCCTGGTATAGATGAGGATGGGCAACTACAGCCTGTAAAATTAGGAGTTCATGCAACGGCAGATTATTTCTAAATAAACAAACATCTGGCTTTTATATTCTTTTTCTTGTTGAAATAAAATAAATTCCTAAAAACATTTTTTAAGATAATGCCAATTCTGCTATCCCTTACCTTTTGCCAAAAAGTTTGGGATTTTGTTTCCAACTAATTTGACATTTGACCAGGAGCTTGCCTAGACACTTTCAATTCTTTGAGTTGCATATACACTAAGGGCGGGAGGGGGGGAGGTATGTTATTTGCCAAAGGTAATTGAGTTCATTCTTTTACATACAGAAGAGGCACTTTGTTTTTGTTTTGCTTTTTATTTTTGTGCGAAGTCTAAATTATAGGCACTGTGGAATTCAGTGCAGGCATGAAGACTAAATCCACTCTACCGAGTGAAGATGCCAGTTGTACGACTCAGTCCTCCACCATCCCACACTATGGGTGGCACTATACCTGTGCATCATCTGGAAGCCTCACGGATATATCCAGCCACGTGATTGTCTGGTTGCCTTTGCATTTAACAAACTAGCATGAGGCCTTTTATATCTAAATGCTATGTGATAGACAATTTCAGCTAGCCACATATTGTATTATGAAATTCATAAAGATTTTCAATCATTCAATTCCATTTATCAACTGAAATTTTGTTTAGTATGTGAATTTTTTTTTTTTTTGAAATGTATAGTGAATAGGATGTTGCACTGGTGGCAATTCATCATGGAACATAATAAAATTAATTTGACCCAATTATATATAAAATAGTGTGCCTTATTTGTTTATTAAGACATTAGAACACACATTTTTAATTGTTGAGTCTAGCCAAGAGTGCACAGCAGTGCCGGTTAATGGATGAAGTTTCCATCACTGCGTGGCCTGAGAGGTAGACTATACCGTGAAGTAATAAACATGGTGTGTAAAAGAATTCTGCAGCCTGTTCTGGGAATCCAGGCAGCTGTTCAGCACCTACTGTGAAGGCCTGCATGGTACAACGCTTCTGAACAGCATTTATAGTGCAAGGTCAGTGTTTAGGACTGAGACCGAAAATGTTACTGGGAATTTAGTAAATACCAAACAGTAGTTTACAAGGGACCTAGTTTTTAATAAACAGTATTAGAGGTGGTGTTCATTAAAACCAGAAGCTTAGTTTGGGATAAGTGGGATGTTTTGTTCCACTGACCTTGGGTAGGAACCTGAAGATGAAGCTGTGCTTGGAATGCTACAAAACACCTTTCAAGAGCTTTGTTCTATGAAAGTGTTTCTTTCATGGATATGAACACTTAAAAAATTATATAAAACTATTGAAAGATCCTGTCCTGTTGTAGTTACCTAGATGAAGATCCTGAAGTGACTGCTTTAGGAATGGTGTTCCTGAAGAGCAAATGTATTGTTAAGGAATGGTCTGTCCATCAGGAAATCCTCTGCAGGAAACACTTCTCCCTCTACAGCACAGTTTTCTCTCATCACTTGTTTAATATGGGATTTAAAATAAAAGAAATTGCTCAGGGCTGGAGAGATAAGAGCACTGTCTCTTCCAGAGGCCCCAAGTTCAATTCCCAGCATCCACATGGAGGTTCACAGCTGTCTGTAACTCTTGTTCTAAGGCATATAACAAACTCTTGCCTCCTCGGGCCCCAGGCACACGTGGTGCACAGACATACATGTAGCAAAACACCATGCATATGAGACTAAATAGAAATAGGTTTTTGAAGAAATATAAATGTGGGTAGCCACTAGAAAGAGATTTGGTAAGCAGCTTGTTATGGATTTGATGGGGCACATACTCTTTGATTTGTGTGGGTGTGGCTACAGATTTCACCTTCCTCATTTACTGACTGTTGATAGAAGCCACCAGCACCTGTGCCCATCTCTGTCCCCCAAAAAAACTGAAGGACTCAGCATTTTCCTGGAACATGTGGTAGTAGTGCTTTGGCTCACTGATGATGAGTCACTGATGATGTTGGTCACCCTACATTGCCAAGAAGTTCACTCATCACAAGGTATTTGTGGGTTGAAATGAGGCTGAGCTTTTGATTGTACATCCAAATTATTTCATTATCTTTATAGACATTAGTTGACATTGTTTTTACTTGGACTTACATATTCTATGAACTCTTACAATAAACTTAACCTAAAAGAAAAATAGTTTTCAAATGTAAATACCTGTGTAATTTTTAATCAACAGAGGCACTATCAGACTGGGAGTTCTTCCAAGGATAGCATGGATATCTAAACGCAATGTCCTAGTTTTCCTCAGGGAAGGAACATTCTGATTTGATTGAATTATTCATGCCCCTCTACCAACTGCCAGGTCCTACCAACCCAACTTCATATTCACACACACCCTTTTGTAAAATCCGTTCAGTCCAGTTTGTAATGATGGCCAACAGTTCCTGACCATGGGACCAGCCCTGGTATGCTGGCTAGTTCTTGACACTTGACACAGACTGGATAGTCATTTGTGAAGTGGGAACCTCAATTAAGAAAATGTACCCACCAGATTGGTTTGTGGGAAAGCCTATTGGATATTTTCTTGATTAATTATTGCTGTGGGTGGGCATCCCACAGAAGGCAAGTGTCACATCTGGGTGGGTGATTCAGGATGCTATATGAAAAGCAAACAAATATGGCCTGCCTCCGGGTTCCTGCTTGAGTTTCTGCTCTGATGTCCATCAGTGATGGACTGTAATGGGTGAGGTGATTACAAGTTCCTTTTGGTCACAGTGTTTTCACAGCAATAGAAACCCTAACTAAACAACTGGAGCAAACAGTGCACCAAATGCCATTCCATTGAAAACCAGTTTTCCCTCTTCCAGCAGTGATAAAATGCCAGCAGCTCCTTGCCTAGGGGTAGGACTTTTGTAGTGGTGCACCTGTGTAGGTTGTGTACATGCTACCACATACGTGTATTTGCCCTGTTTTTCTTAAAGTCATCTACTACCTCTCGGCCCCCACCTCTTCATAGATCCCTGGGCCTTCTTGGGTAGGGGTAGGAGTGTGCATTTACATCATTCTCTACGTGTTGACCAGTAGAGAGGTTTTCTATTAGTTGCCATCTGTTGCAAAATGGAGCTTATCTGATGAGGATTGAGTGATGTATAAGCTACGTCTATTTAGTGGGATGATAGTAAATAGGTTTTCCCCTGGGGCCCATGACCCTATCTAACAGGTTGTTGGTGTCATTGACAGTGTTTATGTATGGGTTCAGTCTCATGAAACAGGCCTTAAATGTGTTCAAAAAGTGATTGTTTATCCCCCTATCATCCATGCCACTATTGCACTGGTGAGCACATTTTGACATGTTGATTATAACTCACAGCATTTATAGCTTCATGAGACTGGTAAATCCTTTCCTCCATTGCCTGCATAGCTTATTCCAGCATTGTAAACACTGCAGTCAGTAGGGATAACACTT